TCTCCAAAGCAGCCTCGCCAGTTCACATTCCCACCAGCCGGGCACGAGGTTCCGATTTCCCTCCCTCCTTGCCAGCATTGCCTTCTTGTCTTCCGTATTCTAACCGTCCTGGAGGCAGGAAGTGCCCAAGGTTCTTCTAATGAGGTCACCAGGGACCTCCTCATGGTCCACCCGGCAGGGGCTGGGGTCACTGTGCCAGACTTCTCTGCTCAGCTGCCAGGCGGGCCTCCCTCCTGCAAGGTCTCCTGCCCTGGCTTCTGAGGGACCCCCTCCCAGGCTCTCTTCCTCCTCGCTCCCCTGCCTTCCCGGTCTTTTGCACTGGCTCTGCCTCCTTTCTCCACTTGCCCTTAAGTGCTGGTGTTCCCCAGGCATTCTCTACACCGCCTTAGGCGAGCGTATTTATTGATTCATCTTAAGTACCACTTCCCCCCTTTCCTCCCTTCCCCCCCTTCCCCGTGACTCCCATCTCTCCTTCTTCAGTCACCGCCTCTCTCCCAAGCTCAGGACCAGCGATTCTGACCACTCAGAGCTCTGGGGCTCCCTACTGACAAGGACTCACTCACACACACAGCTTCCAAACAGCTCTGCATCCTCCTCCTCCATCACTGCCCTCGTCCTGCGTGCCCACGCCCGGGGCTGGCGCCACCGCCAGGGCTACAGGAAGACACTTGTACACGAGGAGGTCAACCTGCCTGCCTCCCTTTCCTTCTTGAGACTGTAAGCTCCTGGAGGGCAGGTTTGTGTCTTTGGAGCTCCTGTCTGAGCACTGAGCCCCTACGTGCCAGGCACCGGAGGGATGCTGCATGCCGAATTAAACACCAGGTGGGCTCCCTGACTAAAGGATCCGAAAGGCAATTAGCAAGGACATAGGGGAGGAAGCACTGAATGAGTGACGGGGACATAGGGGAGGAAGCACTGAATGAGTGACGGGGACGTGGGGGAGGAAGCACTGAATGAATGACAGGGACATAGGGGAGGAAGCACTGAATGAGTGACAGGGACATAGGGAGGAAGCACTGAATGAATGACAGGGACATAGGGGAGGAAGCACTGAATGAGTGATGGGGACATAGGAGAGGAAGCACTGAATGAGTGACAGGGACATGGGGGAGGAAGCACTGAATGAGTGACAGGGACATAGGGAAGGAAGCACTGAATGAGTGACAGGGACGTGGGGGAGGAAGCACTGAATGAGTGACAGGAACATAGGGGAGGAAGCACTGAATGAGTGACGGGGACGTGGGGGAGGAAGCACTGAATGAGTGATGGGGGACATGGGGGCCTGACGTGGGGACCAGGGTTCGAAGGAAGCCCTCCGAGGGCGCCCACCCACACCAGGCTGGACACTCACCTCCGTGTCCGGCTGTCCCCTTGGCCTTCAGAGCCCGTGTGCAGACGGGGGAAGAGCCCCGACCTCCGCTTGATGGGGCTCCGAGATTGGTTCTTCGCAGTTGCCGCCGCCACCGGAGGCTGCCAAGGCGACCACCAACATGAGCGCTCACTCCCCACACCCGGTCCCTTCCCTTCCCCCCCTTTCCGGCCTACAGAGCCTGCGCACCCCCTCCCACCCCACAACTGGTCTGGAGGGACCCCAGAAACACGACAGCTGGGAAGAGCGGGGTCTGTCGGCCCACGCTGCCTGCAGGGAAGGCGTGTTTTCCCATGTTCTTAGCCCGATGCGTATGGCCCCAGGTAACAATCCGCTAGAACAGAATCCTCGGAGGAACGTGGGGCCAGAGCCACCCTAAGGAGAACCCGCGTACTGAGAGGACAGGATGACCGAGGGGGGTCACAGACTGGGGACCAAAAGCTGAGAGAGTCCTGGGAGCGACCCGGTGCAGTTTCTCGCTTTACTGAGGAGGACGTGGAGGAGAGGAGGGGCGAGGGCATTGGGTCTGGGTCACAAATCCCCGACAGGACAGCATGCGGTCCACACGCACCCACAGGCAGGGGGGGCTGCCAAGCATGTGGCTCTGCTTCTGCCACATGCGGGGGGATGACGGGCGGAGGAGGGCGGCAGAATGAGAGGTGGGGATGGGCGCCCCCAGGCCTCTAAGCCAGGCAGGCCCCATGTTTGCCGTTTGCACGTGGTGCAACCTTGGGCAAAAAGTGGAAGAATTCTCTGGGCCTCAGTCTCACCCACAGGTTGGAGGTAAGTGCCCTGCCCCGATCCCCTCCCAGACCCTCTGCGGGGGAACAAGGCGACAGTTATGAAAACACTGTTTGGTAAATCAAATGCATCATACACGATCGTTTACAATACCAGTTGTCAGTGCCGTGGTGGGTATGTTCTACTATTACAAAAAAAACACAAGAAAACCCCAACGTGCACAAATCCAAAGCCCCTTCGCTTTACAAAAGGAGGGACTCTGGTCCCCGCACCTGGCCAGGTCCTGGTGCAAGCTGACCAGACCCAAACCCCCGGCCGGCCGGCCTGTCCTTTCTTAGAGCTGTACACACAGCGAGGAAGAGCGGAGACTTAGGATCTGGGCGACCTACACCCAAATCCCAGTCCTTCTGGCTTAGCTGGGTGACCTCCAGCAAGTTGCCTAACCCCTCGGGGCCTCCCCTTCCGCCCATGTGCAAAAGAGAGCACTCGGCACCTCCCTCAGTGTCACAGGGGCCCGGGAGTTACTTCGCTCAGTGCCCGGTGCACGGCAGGCGGGGGCAGCTGCGTGTCATTAGGAATAACAAAGGCAGGGCCCTCTCACAGGAGGGTCCTGAGGAGGCCCAGGTGACAAGGAAACTCAGAGAGCAGGACAACACAGGTGGGCTCCGGTCTGGGCCAGCCGCCAGTGCTGCCTGGCTGAGGGGTGGGGGTCGCCCCTAGGCAGCCTCAGTCTCCCTCCCCATCATCCAGCTCGCCCTGCTGATCCCCTGGCCCGGGCCTGGGTGAACACACCCCTCCCCCCACCACGGCCTGGGGGACCCCAGGGCCCGCAGACGCTCACCGAGAAGGTGGTCTTGGTGACCTCCACGCTGTTGTGGGCGATGCCCCCGCTGAGGCTGCCGGGGAGGCCCCCGCTGTGCGGCTTCTTCTGGCTGGTCACCATGGTCTCCATGGAGTGGCTGCGCACGCGGATGGCCCTCTGTGGGGACAGCAGGGGAGGGGGCCCTGAGGGTTGGAGCCAGGCCTCTCCAGATGATCCCACTGAGGCAGACACACGCCAGGCTCTCCTCGCTCCTCTCTCTCTCTCTCTCTCTCTCTCTCTCTCTCTCTCTGGCCCACATGCTAATCACTACAGTCTGCAGAGGGCTTTCACAGGCTCTGGGCCTGTGGCGCTCTGCAGGCAGAGGCGAGGAAGGGTACTAGACAGAGGAGTCTGAGGGGTCAGTGCCCCAGATGCCCTGCGAGGGGGACAAAGGTTGTTAGAGGGATGGAAAGCGAGGCTCGGAGAACTGACCAAGCCTGAGCTTCCTCATCTGCAGATCAGGAATGACACGGTCCAAGCAGCAGAAAACGAAGCTATTATATATATCCTCCTATATCTAAACACTGGGTATCCCTTCTGCGATCACCCCGAAGTGCGCCTGGTACAACTTGGTATATATTCCCAGTTAGTGCCCTGTGGCCAGAGCACTTTCCGGGTCCGTACACTGAGCCGCACCACACTCGCAGCGGCTAACGATGAGCCCGCAGCTGGTGCCGCTGCCGACACAGGACAGGCACGCTCAGACTCCAGGCTGCTCAGGCCGCATGGAGCCCTGTGCCCACTTAGGGCCACCAAAGAACGAAGGGCCCATCGGTACACAGTGCAGTGTCCAGAGGTGGGGGTAGACAACCAGGACTGTCACCAGTCCCAGTGCCTGCAAGGATGAGAACAGTTAACATGAAGATTGCTGCGCTCACGGCAGGGAGAGAGCTGGGAGGTGCCGGCTGCTCTCGGACCGCTCAGCAGGGCTCTGCAGGCCGCCTGCGTTGCTCTGGAACCGGACTCCAGGTTAGAGGGAGGCAGACAGATCCCACCTGCACCCGAGGGAGGATTTCCTGGCACGGGAAGTCCCAGAGGCTCCCACCGACCATGAGGACGATGCTCCCTGGTCCTGAAGGCCTTCAAAGATGACAGGAGTTCTGGGAAGGGAAGTTTCTCTCCAGGAGCCCCCAAACCCCACATCATTTCCCTTCAGTCCCTCGATAATACGGCCAGGGGGCCATACGTATAAAGCTCTTAGCAGAGCACCCGGCACACACTAAGTACCTCGTCCATGTGGCTACTCTTCTTGTTAACAGCAAGTACTTGCCACGTGCTTCCTGTGTGCCCAGCACTGCCAGAAACAGGAAGAATTGCAGGCAGGGAATCAAAGACATAGGAGAGATGGCCCCTGCCTCCAAGGAGTGTCCAGTCAGCAGGGAAACACGGCATCCCTAAACTGAGGGCAATGGAAGAGGCCCAGAGCCGCTGTGTTAACCAGCTGTCCAGGCCCCCACAGCCTCAGAGCCTCACGGATGCAGACATTACTAGTTGCTCACATACAAGAGCCATCCCCCCATGTTCCTTGCTGGCAGAGTCACCGCCGGGCCCAACACCCCCTCTTCCTCCACAGGACGAAGGAGTAAACCATGGCCCTCTCAGGCAGTCACCTCATCCATGCGTTTGCCAGTGGGACACGAGGGGACGTTCCTCGGGGCTTCGAGGAAAGACCTCCTCAGCGATTCCCAAAAGAGGTGACACCTCTGCACCTAGGATCACCGCCGCCGCCTCTGCCACCGTGGGGCCGTGAGGGGTCAAGTCTACGCGTGAAGCTGACAGGATGGGGATGGCAGAGGGACAGGGGGACAGAATCGCCATTGACCACACGGAGCCACACGCCACCTAGGCCTTCCGGTGAAGCGAGCTAGTGGATCTTCCTCATGGCGTGAGTCAGCTGAGGCCCTAAGTGGGCACAGGGCTCCATGCGGCCTGAGCAGCCTGGAGTCTGAGCGTGCCTGTCCTGTGTCAGCAGCGGCACCAGCTGCGGGCTCATCGTTAGCCGCTGCGAGTGTGGTGTGGCTCAGTGTACGGACCCGGAAAATGCTCTGGCCTCAGCTTCAGAAAACCCATGCAGAAGGACAAAGGCGGAACACTGTCCCCCATCCTCGCCTGGCTCACACCCACGCGTGAACCACATGTGCCTGCTTACGCGCTCTGCGCGTCCACCTATGTGAAACGGCCGCCCTTCCGTCCCTTGAAGCACTGAGTCTACGGAAAGGTCGTCCGGAGAAAGCAGCGGGAATGCAGCCCCAACCCGGGAGCTCTCCCCAAGGTCGGGAATTCGCCCAGCTCAGGAGTGGCCGAGGCCCACACCCTGCCTGCCTGCCTCTCCTGAGGAGGAAGCTGACTCAGGAAGGAGGGCCGTTGGCAAAGATGATGGTCCTGGAGGTGAGCTCCCCTTGGACAAGGCAGGGAACTCATCAGCTGTGCATCCCTGATGGCAGTCAACTGTCCTGGCCTGTCTGAGCCCAAGATGCCCCCTCGAGGGACGTCAACTCTCTCTCTTTCTAGACCACAGAGGAGCATCTCCCAGCAACACGGATAAACAGCCAGCACCGTCTCTTCACTCCACCACCCAAAGATCAGTCAGACGTGTGCCTATGGGAAAGCTGAAGGCAGGGAAGGCGTGGCGCCACTCGGAGGTGTCCTTGGATAAACAGAGTTTCCTTAAACGAGTCACATGCTCCATCAACTCAACCTCATTCCATTCCATTGGTGCCTCGTGTGTGCTGCCACCACCACCGTCATCAACTGTGACATGTCAATGACTCTTTTCTGTTGGGATGCTTTCTCACTGCCTCTCTGCGGAGGAGATTAAAGAGCCCCGTGTGACGGCAGCTGGTCCACGGAGCGTCACACACGTGATCTTACTGCCTCCTCCCAGCTCTGGGACACAGAGAGGGCAGTCACAGAGAAAAGGTTCTGAAATGCAAATGGCTGTGAGGTCACACCAAAGGTAAGAGATGGAACCAGGACCAAACCCAGGACCCTGGGCTCCAGACCAAAGGGTCCCAAGAACCAGCCCAGCTTGGACATATAATCCAACTGGCTGATGGACTGAGGATGTTGAGAAACCAAGTGATTTTGGCCCCCCTGACATCAGGGAGGACTCATCTCCCCAAAGGCCCGTGGTGCTGCTGAGTCAGTGAGGTAGGTCTGAGGGTATAGCGGCTGCTGGCGGGGAACTCCAGGGATGTGCGGGGCTTGACTCCTGGTTCTCTCCAGCACGGGGTCTGAAACAGCCTCCTCCCCTGTATAGGGTGGTGATGGTTCCACGTGAGGATGACACAATGGATGACCAATCCCTGGCGTGACACCTGCTTGCTCAAGGTCATCTCTCCTCCCCACTCTTAGGGATGGGGAAAGAGAGGTGATGGCTCCCTCAAAACCCTACAATGAGGCTCCATTTGGACAAAATCGCCCAGTGACATGGTCTAAAGTCATTGACATGTCACATGTCATTCTGAGGTAGAGCTGGACACACAGCCTTTTCAAATTGGTCAGGAGAGTCAGGTACAGGGCGAAGAAGAATACAGAGCACAGCGATGCGGACAGAGGGAGGCCCAAAAGCCTTTGCCGGGGCGTCAGGAGGTCTCCGGGGATCCGTCTCCTTTCCCACTTAGACCCTGCGCACCCAGGCCACAGCTCACATCCTCTCTGCCTGCATCTTCCCAGGGATGGGCTGCTCACTGCCTTTGAAAAGATCTTCTGCACACCAAGCTGAAATCTTACCATTTCCAGATGTTGGCGCCATGGACTAGTCTGTTCCACGCTCACACAACTATCCCTATCTGTCCTCAGATGCTCTGAGTTCTGTCACCTCTAGTTCTGTCCCCCACCCTGAGTCGCCGTGGTTTCCCAACCCTCGGCACACCGTGGGGGGCGTGAGAAGAGAGGGATGGAGTCACTCCCGCATGTCTGCGTGTGTCACACCAGCTAGTGTCACAGAGGGAGCCCGTCTCCTCCGGGCCTGCCTCAAACCCCACTTCATTACGAATGGCTTTTGTGAATTGTTTCCATCTAGCAAACTCAACTTGGGGGACCCAATGCACAAGGAGAATACATGCTTATCTGCACCAAGTAAGCCACAGAGGCAGGGCCGGCAGAGAGAAAGATGCTAATTTCTTGCCGGCTGTGACGACCCCCTAATCGGAAGAATCTGAGGTACAAAGCAGGGTCTCCTGCCCCTTTGGCAGCACAAATAAAGGAGGAGGGCTGGTGGAAGTAGGAAATAGCCTTCCATGTCTCCTTTCAGACAGACCAGAGCTCCAATCCATGAGCTGCCTTTGCCAGAGCTACTTGCAGAGTGGCACTCCGGCCACTAGGGGTCAGAGCAGACCAGTGCATCGGCTGCCAGCCCCTCAGAGGCTGGGAGACATTCACCCAACAGTCCTGCTCTCCGCTGTCCCAGTTCTGGGGCTGGTGGTGGCCCTCTCCTCTGGCCCTCAGGCCCTCCTTCTGCATGAAGTCATCAGAGGCTACTCATCATGGCTACTCAGGGTTTCTCAAAATGTGGCTCCCACAAGCTTTGTGTACATATTTTGCCTTTCCATTTTATCAGGGACCAACAGAAACTTCAACAGCGGGCAGTGGCTGAGCATGGCATTTGAGAACAACAGTTCAGAGATCAATATTTTCCAAATGTGAGTAATACCCAGCTGCTCAGAAAAGAAAACTATTCTGGGTGGAGGAGGGCGATGGGGGAAGGAATGCGGGACCATCTGTAACACTGTCAGCAATAACTAATATACATGTTTTTCACCTAAACCTATTCTTGCAAGACTCCAAGACTCTGCCCTCAGACCCCCAGCACCGGGGCACCCGGCTGCATTGGCCCCTGCCCACATACTCATGTCTTTCGATGGTGAATCTTGCTGCCAAAGTTTAATCTCGACTGGAAATGCATTCTTTATATCATCTGCTACGTAACAATGCAAGATGTGTATGTGTTTGTAGAACGGAAGGATTCCCGAGAATATCCCCAAGCTCCTCAGAAGCAGGTCTAGGCGTCCATGAACCAACGGTTCTGTTTCTCGTGGAAGAAACACTAAGCTGACAGCCCGTGAACGGAAGCCGGACGTGGGGAGGAGAAGAGCTACTTTATGTGGTATGAGGAGCCAGGAGCACAGCCTGGGGTGGCAGAGGGACAGAGGGACAGAGGACAGAGGGACAGAGGGTCCTTGGGCTGTAGGGGAGGGAAAACAGCCACAGAGGCAGGGATGGGTACCTGGGGTCGCTGTGAGCCGGGGACTTCTCAATTATGTCTCCGTGCTTCTGTGGGACGAGAACTGTGACAGGAAGGAGAGAGAGAGCAGGAACCTCTCCTCCTGGAATCGGTTCATGCACCACTCTCGCAAGGACTTCGTGGCGGTCCGGACACAACGCCCAGAGGAATGCCAATAATTCTGACACCACAGCACCGTCCAAGGTGCCGGGAAGAAATGGGGAAACTGAAGACCGTTTCCTGAGACCACAGCCCGGGACGCCCACCGAGGGCTGGGATGGAACACACAGGGCCACGAGCTCATGTCCCGACGGGAGGAGGAGACAAAGCTCGGAAGGTTCGCTCTGCGCCACTGGCCGTGACGGCCCCTCCCTCACCCCTCAGGGCCCCTCGGACACAGGCATGGAAGCTGAAGGTAGAAGGGACTGTCCTCAGCCCACGGTTGGAAGGAGTCAGGGCTGAAGAGAAACCTTCCCTGGATTACTGGGCCAGAGACAAGGAACAGACAGGGCCTGGAGATGTCCCTCCATGGGAAAGCCCGGAGTCAAGCCGCTGGCATCGGCCCAGAGGCAGGACCTGGGACATGGCCTCGGGTCACTGCCTTTAGACCCACAACCTGCCAGGCTGTTTTGTCCGCTTGGCGCCGAGGGCACGGCCTACAGGAGTTCCCAGGTTATAGAAATATTTGAAAACCGAAAAAAACTATTATTAACTCCAAAAGGCAGAGAGAAACCTGCAAAACGGAAAGCAACAAATCACCAGATGTCTGCAGTCAGCGACAGCTCGAGACGTGTACAAATCACATCTGCTGTGGAGCCGGGAGCATCTGACAGGCTTGCCAGGATGTGGGCGGAACCCTCGGAGGTGTTCCTAGTTACCTGGTCTCCCGTCCACCCCTCCCTCTGCCGGGATAGCTGCCCTGGCTCTCTCTTTCCTCCCCCTCCTTTTCTCCCCACTCCCCCCCCCCCTCCTCTGGATCTCAATTCCTCCCGTTTCACCCTGGCCGCCACTGTCCATCAGAGCTGAGACAGATGTCCCAGGAATCTCCCACCAGCCGGGACACGCAGCCGGCTCCTGCCCGCGCCCACGAGAGGAATCTCGCCAGCTGGCCCTTGGGGCCAGCAGGCCCTGCCCTGCACTCTGTGCCGCTGCCTGGCACGGGGGCAGACCCCAGGCTTGCCCGGGCCAGGCTAGTGGGAGGAATCTTAATTGAGTTGGGACCCAGAGGCGGTGTCATGTGGCAACTGGGAGCACACGCTCCGGCGTCTGCCAGACACGCTTCGATTCCCGAATCTGATGGGTAACTTGGGACAAGTTTCTCCGGGTCTCCGTTTCCTCGCGTACAAATGACACTCCTAACTATCGAAATCGGGTATCGGCGATTCTACCTGCAACCCCAGCCTTGCACAGGGCACAGGGAGCGGCCGTGAGGGTTCAGAGGGGTGGTGGGGGTTAAGCTTTCGCTGTAGAGGGCAGTGCGATCAGCACACACGTTCACCAGGCACTGACTGTACTCCGGGCCACGAGACCTCTTCGGACTATTTCTGTGAGTTCTCCCAGCAATGCCCACACACAGGGCCTGTCAGCCATCCCTGTGTGGTTATGCTCAGAGACTTGAAAGACTGTGCCCAGGGTCATGCAGCTGGGGTTCTAACACAGGCAGGTCCCCAAAACCCTCACACACCGTCCCCAAAACGGCAGCTTTATAAACCAAGCAGAACACTGACAAAGAACCGGAAAGCCCGGGTTTGAAACAAGGCTATATCTCTGAGCTGTGTAAGGTGTTTTTGTGGGGTTTTTAGTATGTTCTTATTGATTTCAAAGAGGAAGGGAGAGGGAGAGAGATAGAAACATCAATGATGAGAGAGGATTATCGATAGGCTGCAAGCCCCCTACTGGGGATTGAGCCCGAAAACTGGGCCCGTGCCCTCCTGACCAGGAATCGAACCATGACCTCCTAGTTCATGGGTCAACACTGAACTACTGAGCCATACCGGCCAGGCAGTGGGTATAAGGTTTTGAGCAGTCCTGTGGCCTCCATCCTGTCCCCTTGTGTGGGAGTGAACATAACAAGGCCCGTGCCAACCGGAAAGGGTAACAGCCAGGCTCAGCTCAGAGGTTGGATGTAAGCGCTGTGTGGACCAGCAAGCACTTGGCAAGCCCATGACAATGAGTCTTCTTTATGCCAGGCCCACGAAGCGGCTCTCCCAGCTCCACTTGAATACTCCCAGGGATAGAGAGCTCACTACGTATTTTAGCAGCTCATTCTGGTTAGAAAGTTCTTCCCTTTGCAAAGTCCACAGGGACTTGCCTCTAACTCCATCACACTGGCCCTACCCAGGTCCTCGGGTGCCCCGGCAGCTGGAGAAATCTTTTCGGAACCCACAACCAGCTGCCGAGGACAGCAAAGACCTGTGCCCCTGCTCCCGCCATTCTGCCCTGGAGGGTGCCTGGCCACAGAAGGAGGCAGGCAGAGGCAGGTGTGTTCTTGGTTTGCACTGGCTCCTCTCCTGCTAACTCTTCCCCCAGCCCCACTTGTCAGTCTCCGGGCCAGGAGGAGAGGATCTAGGTCAAGACACCGTTGGCTGCTCCAACCACTCACCCTTCCCGATGCCCCTGTCCTCCTGCCGCCTCTGGCTGGCCCTGGGCTCTGGGGTCAGGATCATGTGGATCTTGGACCTCTTCCCTCGTTTGTCCCGACCCTCCCAGCCACGACCATCGGCAGCCGCCTTTGCATCCGTACCTTGAAGGATTCCAGGAACCCCCCGTGGCCCCCGTTCTCAAACTTGTCCTCTTCCGGGCCGAGTCCCAGCATGGCCTGCGTGTGCGCGTGGAGCTCGTCGTGAAGGTTGTCCAAGAGGGCGGCCCGCGTCCGGTCCTGGAGGGAGGAGGGGAGATTGTGGAGGGGCCCTGAGAGCAGAGGGGCTCACCATGCCTGGCTGAGGGCTGCTCTTCCGGCCAAGCACATCTCGGAGGCCAGGCTGGGCTCCACGCTCACAAATGTCGCAACTGACACTACAGCCCAGCCCAGCCCTCTGCTCTCTTCCCTCTGCCCCTTCTCGCTGGGCCGCCCCACCCTCCCAGCTCTACCTGACTCCTGGCCTCACCCAGATCTCTACCCTGAATCCCACATCCATATGCCACTGCCCACTGCTCCTCTCCATCCAGATGTTCCTCCAGAGCCATCCGCACAACCTCCAGGGGGCGCCATGTGTCCAGACCGGGACTGGCCCTTTCAGGAACCCAGCCTGTGCAGGCACCTCCAGATCAGCAACGAGCCAGGCTGCAGGCCTAGGAGCCACCCCACCAATCCACCTCTCCCCACCCTGAATACAGCAGTCCATCGGGTCTTCCCCAATCCTTCCCTCCTCTGCCATTGTCTCTCTTGAGCTCCTGTCATAGCTTCTAATTGGCCGCCCTTCCCGCCCTCCTCCCTTTCAATCCACCCTCCCCACCTCTGTCAGAATGATCATCTAATATGCAAAACAAACATCACTCTCCTGCCCAACTCCTTCAATAGGGCCCATCCCCTCTAGCTCAAATCCCTTTCTGAAATGACCCAATTAAGTCTCCAGCTGAGTCCCCACCATCCCATTCCCCCACATGAGTCCTTCCCCTCAGGAACCCCCTCACCCAGTCATGCTCTGATTCTGCCCTGATGCTTCTTTGCTCATGCTGTTCCCATGCCTGGAATAGCCCTCCCCACTCTTCCCTCCTGGCAAACGGCTCATCAGGTACCCAGATTCAGCAGCTGAAGGGCCACCTTCTCCAGGAAGCCTTCCCTGAATACCCCCTAGACCCCCACAGGCAGAGGCAGTCACTATCCTAAGTCACAGCCCCCAGGCTGGCCTCCAGCAGGGCTCAGTGCTGGCAAACTGTGTCACACCTCTATAATGGCCGCTCCCACCAGCCTGGGAACTCGATATGGGCAGAAACTGAGTCCCAGTTAGGCCCGTGTCCCAGGAAACAGAACAGAGCCTAGCACACAGTAGGTGCTCAAGAAACGACTGGCGAGTGGCTGACTAGACCTGAGACTTGGACTTCGTTTCCACAAGAAGAGTTGCTGTATCTGCACAGGACTGATGACTTCGAGGGGCAAAAACGACGCTCTCACCCCTCGAACAGCCCCCAGGAACAGACCCCGGCTGAGTCCGGCTGACGACCAGGAGGGCAGAGGGAAGACCCCGGAAACCTCGTCCTCACCTCCAGCTTCGCGAACTTGTCCGACTTGCAGCAGGCGTTCTCTGCGTTGGTGAGCTTGGTGAGCAGAAACTCCCTGAACTCGGGGCCCTGGAAGACAAGGCACTCTGGGACTCTCCCGGCCGCCCCACAACAGGCAGAACGGGGTGGGGGGGTGTCTAGGAGCACCCCTGAAAAGTCCCTTCAGACACTGGATCACATCTAGCCCAGGCCACGCCCCGCTGCTATGATGCCAACATGGGAACCAGCTCCCCGGGACCTGGGACATCAGCTCTCCCACCCACAGGGCATTCCCGTGCCTGGAGGTGACTTTGCCCCCCAATCCCCGCCTCCCCCTCCCCCACCTCCCACCCTCTCCCCACCAGCTCCTGGTATAAAAAACGCTTCTTTCAGCCGAAATTCAAACACCCTGGAACCAGACCTTCTGCGAGGCCAGGCTGGCAGCAGGAGCAGAGGAGGGGAAGACCCCAAGGAAAGCCCCCAAGCCTGCTGAGTAAAGGCCCGGCTAACGTCCCCGCCCACATCCAGCCCCGCTGCCATCCCTGCCATCCAGGCCTGGGAACCTGGAGTCTGGATCTGAGAGGAGCAGGAAGGAGAGTGTCTTACCTTCTGGAAAACAGGGGGGCTGGGCAGAGGTGGGCCAAAGGCAGGCACGTCTTCCCGCGCGGTGACGGAGACCTGCAACAGAGCCTCGGTGTGGGCCAGGCGGGAGAGGCCCACGTGCGGTGCCCGGGCCCGGGGCAGCCCCACCTCCCACGGCAGACCTCGCCCCGCCTCCCGGTGCCCTGGGAGCCATGGCCAGCGTGGCAGAGTTCCTAGGAGTGGGCTGGATGGCATGGAACCATCCACACGCTTGTCTGCACTGCTGGAGACCAGGTGTGAGCCTGGCAAGGTAAAGGGACAGAACCTGGGACCCCAACTCTAATGCAGTGTGAGCGCTCAGGACACCCCTCCTCCTGACAGCACTGACCGGGAAGCTGAGCCCTGGGGAGGCACGGTGAGAATTCTCAGCCCTTTTACGGATGAGGAAACAGATGCCCAGAGACACGAGTGACCCTCCCAGAGGCACACAGGTGATTCACCCCCGAGGCGAACAGAGAATCCAGACCCTGCTCTGGGGTTCTTCCCACGACACTGGCTCCCAACCTCCCCACACTTCAAGTGCTTCACCAAGAAATACCCATTGCTCGGCTCCATCCCACGCCTGCCGCAGCAGCAGCAGCACCGAGGCGAGCCGGGGGTCTGCAGCTGTGAGCTCCTGAGAGCCCCTGGCAGTAGGCAGGTGAGCATCTGGAAGCCCTACTCCCCCCTGCACAGGGTGAGGCAGTTGGGGTGAGGCCTGAACCAGCAGTGCGGGGCCCAGGCTGGGAAGTGGGGGTGGAGGGCCTAGAGGGGTGCTCGTGGTGCTGCAGAGGGGGACCAGGCTCTGGGGGAGTGTGCACCTCTGGCCAGCCTGGCGAGGCATGAGTTAAGGGAGGGAGAGCCCCGATATGTTCTGTGTGGGGTCCCCCCAGGCCCGGGACAGGCCCCACACCTCCATCTCCCCTCTGCACACAGGCGCCCTGGTTTCACCCGTCCTCGGCCCAAGAGGCTGCAGGCCTCTCGGGAGATCTGCCCTCTCCGCTCCCCAGACGGGCGGCTCTGACGTGAGCCGGCCCTGGCCCGCCGCCAGCTGCTGGCCTGTGAAGTAGGGCAGATGCCGGGAGTCGGCCAGACGGGGGGAGCAGGCAGCTCATTGCCCGGCCAAGGAAAGGCCCGGCCAGGGTCTGCAGGGGAAGAGAGTGAGGAGGGCTAGTCAGTACCAAGTTCAAAGCTGTCTGCAGGGCCCATACCACTGCAGGGCCTCACACGGCAGCGACCACCGTGAGGAACCGGGGTATGGGTTGCTGACGTGATTGCTGGCTGGTTCCAGTTGCCAAACACAGTTCCCTATCACCACCACCCACCAGGCTCCATGGCCCAAGTCAAGAATGCCACCCACAGAGCCAGAACCTGGGGAAGGGGTGGTGGGGAGGCTCCTGAAGGGACAAGGCCAGGCCTGGCCCTTCCTCTTCCCACCTGGACACCCCCTCTCAAGCGTGCGTTAGCGTGAGCAAATGGCCTCGAGTGTGTTCTGAAATCCACCACGTGTGCAGACAGACAAGTCCACCGCAGCAGCCAGTCAGAAAGGAGGGGACGGGACCCTTCCCATGCCGGCCATTCCTCTCCATGCCCGCTTGCTCCCTCCCTGACCCCTTTTCAGCAGAGCTCAGGCCTTTGTTGTTCCCGCCTCTTGGGCACAGTTGGGTTGCTGGGCCGAAAGCAGAAGCCCCTCCGTCCTGTTTTCTCAATTCCGCACAGGCCGCCCAGCAGGAGCCCAGCAGGGGCCCAGCAGGGATCAGAGGCAGCAGGTTAGAGACCAGGGGCCTGTGAGGAACGAGGATGCGCCAGGAAGTGGGAACCTCGCAGACTCTCGCCTATGTGGGGCCCGGAAACCTCAGAGAACCGCCCAGGTCACTGGAGCGATGGATGACAGGGAGGGGAGGGAGGGGAGAGAGGGGAAGGGGCCCAACCAGGCCCATCTCCAAGGATCGGCATCATGGAAGGCTCCTGAGCCCTGTGCAGGACTTCAGGGGCCAGGCCCAGGTGGGAAGAGGAGGGAGGGAGTCCTGATGATGGCTCGGCTGGGATTCCCTTCCAGCCCGGCAGGAAGGGGACCAAACTGGTGTCTGAAGGACAATCCCAGGTGACACTTCACGCGCACCCAAGTTTTGGAGCCAAGTTCCCGGCGGCTCAGGGTCCACAACCACAGGGCAGCCTGGACAAGGTGCCTCCACCGTTTCCCTACGAAACGCACCCAGGAAAGGACACCTGTAGAGTCCCCCCCCCAGACCACTTCTCATCCATCTCACACACACACTTGTCTCTCAACGTCCCCCCTTCCCCTTCCGACCACATCAGGGCTGGAAGGAACTCTGAGGTTGGCTAGCCCAACTTCCTCATCTCACACAGACAGAATCGGGGGGCCCAGAGGGAGCAGGGACTAACCAAGGTCACAGGCAGAGGACCAGAACCCCAGGCTCCGAGACTCCAGGCCTGGGCCCTTTCCTGCACGTTCCTACCCCACCCTCGCCTCCTTTCCTATTGTTTGTCCTCCCCGTGGGGGCCTCCCCAGGCACTGCTGGCCCCAGGGAAACCTCACTCACCCTGCTTTCCCATCGCCCCTATGCCTGCAAGCACCCCCTGAGGGACCTGACCAGCTCCTCCTCAGGCTGCTCATCACCTGGGGTTCACGGAGGTTTGGGGAGCACCTTGGAAGGCTGGCCTCCCTCCCTGGCCCCCTGCCTCTCTGGCCCCATTCGCAGATCTTGCATTCCAACCTCCACACTCTCCTGACAGGTGGAGCGCAAGGCCCCACATCCCGGGCAGCCTGGCTCCTCCTGTGGGTCCTACTTCCCTGCTGCTCACCCCCACTCTCAGGAAGACGCTCCCACCCGGACCGCCCTCGGTGGCCGGGAAGACTTGGTAAAGACTGCTAGCATCAAAGCTGGGGGTGGGGTGCCCATTTGGGGGCCTGTGATTTTTCTCTGTATTGTCCCTCGCTGCTACGCTCTTGGGAAAGTGGAGACGCCAGTTAGCTGAACTCCATGTCCTATCGGAAACTTTAAACATGCAAAGCGTCCACCAGAGGGCCCGTTTGGCCAGCAGAGGCCCAGCAGGCGAGCCGCGAGTACGCATGGAACTGCTGCCTGGCTGGGTCTCAGAGCCACCGCTCCCCCACCACCACCCCATCCCCCACCGCCTCTGGCCCACCACACACCTTTCTTTGGGGATCCCAAGCACTAGCTCTTCTCTCTCTTCCCTGAAGGCTGGTTCCGAACGTCACTTGCACGTGCCCACGCCTGGCACACGGTGGGCACGGAGTGAATCAAGTCTGCTTCCACCGACAAATCCAGCCAGCTACGCGCCCGTTTCGGTCAGAGCCAGTGAGCCTTCGGGGAGATGCCCACAGCCGGGCTGCTCTCACTTTCCGGCGAAGGCCGCTCAGTGGCAGGAGGCCACGAGCATGGACATGGACATGGAAGTGAAAGAGACCGGCTCTCCTCCACAGGAGAGCGGGTGGGGCTCGTCTGGCTGTGTGTTTGTCGGTGGTTGGTGTGGGGATTTCTTTTTGAAACCTCATACTTGCATTTAAAGTTGATGTGAAGTCTGCACGTACTCCATCTGGCTTCGTACTAATACAAGGTGACCAGACGTCCCGATTTTTAACAAGTTTTAAATCAAGACTTTTTTAAAACAGCCACGGGACGCGGGACAAATAGTTAAAAATCAGGACTGTCCCGCCAAAAGCGGGACGTCTGGTCACCTTATAACTAATAATAGCAAGTATATGACATCATTTTCTTTTCCCAAAGACCTCCAGCAAAATGGGGACTTCATGCAGACGGCCACGAGGCGCGAGGGCTTCGTAAACCCCCCCCCCCCCCCCCCCCCCCCCCCGGAACAAGCGCCGGCCCAAGTTATGACACAGGAAACGTGTCCGGGCCTCAGGGTGTCCCATCAGCCCCTCCCTCTCCCTACAGCAGTGGCGCCTCCATTTACGGAGCGGGCTGTCCTCTGAGACCCTCTCCCCCTAGAAAGGCAGAGAACACGCAGAGAAGCCCACACACTCAATGTTCTGCACGTGTCTGCAGCGGGTTTAAAGGCTACCTAACATCCGCTGAGAAACCTGCCTCAGCCCGTCTCCCTGGGGTCTCAGGCCCCACAGCACTGTGGCACAGAGAGCCTGTGCCCAAGGGGCTGGGTTATTTCTGGCGGAGAAGCGGAGGGGAGGGTCAGTGATTCAGCCACCAGAGGGCCCTGTGAGGGCGGCTGAGGTGGCGGGCTCCCCGTCATCCACAAGGATGTTGAGCTCGTCTGGAAGACTGCTTATCGATCAGAGGGCTGAGACCCACGTACTCACTATCCACCCCCTCGCAGTCTCCAAGTGAAGACCGAGCATTTATTCCAGAACAGCTAAAGCAGAGGGGCCACCCAGGGGCCAGGTCTCCCAGGCCCCTGCGCCCCACCCTTCTCACCACGAACACCTCTTTTCTTTCTTTTCTTTGTTGCCACCCTCTTCCTTTCCCCATCCTGACAGTCCTCTCTCTGTTTCCCTGCTCCCCTCTGGTTCTGCCAATAGCATGACCAGATCCCAAATAAGAGAGCATCGGAGCTTCTCAGCCCTCAGGTGAGACGGGGTTGAGCCCGGAGAGAACCGGATGGGTGAGATGACCTCAGAGGACGGGTGCCCTCCCCTAAGCCTCTAGCCCCCAGATCTCAGAAACCTGAGAGCCGTGGGCAATCAGTCACACCGCAGCCAGGAGTGGCACCTCGGAGTCCAGCTGGAGGACCGTCGGGGACTGCTAGTTCCTGGTATCGCTGGATCCCTCTGGGCGGCCGCGGCCACCACACCCTCCAAGGAGACGTCCCCCTCACCTTGTAGGCCGGGGTGTCCGTGCCCGGGCCCTCGGCCTGCACCACGATGTAGGCGTGTAGGAAGTTGGAGGCGATCATATCTGGGACAAACGGTGTGTTTTCTTCTTGGAAGATGATGGCCACAATGTCATTCCCGATGTGTCGCTTCCTCTGGAGCTAAAACAAAAAACATCCCGCTGTTACAAGCCAGCCGGGAACATCCTGAAAGCAGGAGAGATCTATACAGGAAGTGCCTTGTTCTGCTATCTTTATCCATAAGCCCTGGAACCCGGAGGCCTAGCTCTCGGGGGAGCTTTCCGTGTCATCTTTGGAAGCCAGCAGAAAGGGGAAAAAGTGGGGAAGTTGCCCCAGTTGTGAGGTGGAGACCAGGAAGCATCTCACTGAACTCCAGGGTGTGCAGAGCTCACACACGGGACTCGGGAGAAGAGTTCAATGTTGAGGCTCCCCTCAGGTTTTGCCCTGGGAGAGAGCCTGCAACTGAACCAGGAGAGACACAAACACAGGTGAAGCCACCTGAGGACAGGAACAAGGCTACCAGCCCTCAAGCGGTAAGTCAGCTCCTGCACACAAATGCCCGCCGCCGTGGGGGGGGGGGGGAGTGGAGGGGGGGAGGCAGGGAAGAGGGCAAAGTCAGAGGCCTGAGTGTAATCTTGGAAGGCTTCCTGGAAGAGGAGGTAATGGTGGGACAACTGATGGGAATGTGGGTGAGCAGGGATGAGGCCACAGATCATTCTACACCAGAGGGGAGCAGAGCCATGAGAAATAGGGACAACATGGCTTAGTGGAGGTCATGGGGGCGGAGGAGAGAGAAATCCAACCCGGACTCCGTCCCACAAACTGTGCCAGGTGCTTTCACAGGTGACCTCCATCCCCTCGCTCCTGCTGGGCCGTCCACACGCATGATTTCCAATGACAAGGGCCTCCTGTACACCACGTGCTGGCGAGGTGCTTGCCTGAGCATTTGTTCCTTTATTAAGCACCTACTGAATGCAGGCTCTGCACGTCACTTGGAGTTTCTTGTTCACTGAGCACCTGTTTTGTATACTGAGCCCAGTGCGGGGCACTTGTACACACATCCTCTCACTTAATTCTCCGCACGCCAGCTCTTTTTTTGGGAAGGGAAACGTGGTGTTTAGTCAGTCCTTGCCAACAGCCAGTCTCGACAAACTTAACACAGGTAAGGCTGAGAGCGGGCGGGCGGAGAAGGGCCCTCAGCAGCAGGCTGGGTGGCGGGCGGGGCCGGGAGGGGACATAGACCGAGGTGAAACACAGTGAAAACCTGCTTTGGATACAAAGGAATCCTGTCCCATTTGTTTCTGGAACATTCAGTGGTTCTGTCAGAGCCAAATCACAGTCCCATTTGCCAATTCCCTATTTTTTTTTTTTTTCCATAGAAGCCGAGCTCTGTTTACAGTATTGCATCTGCGCTCCCGCCCTGTCCCCTGCTCAGAGACGATGGGTCGGCGTCTGTCGAAAGGCCTACCTTCCTTGCTCATTCTCCAGAGACTGAAAAGGCAGCGAGCGGGATGGGGAAGTGGGGAGGCAGCCAGAGAGCAGCTGCTGGTTTCGGGGCTCAACAAGGAAAGAGCCAGGCCCGCCTTGGGGACACACAGCCGTCAGAGCCGCAAGGAGAGGGCAGGGAGAGCAGAAAAACCCTGGGAGCAGGTCTCCTCCAGGCTCTCTGGCGGAGGAGGGGCTGGGTTCCTGCCCGCGGGCAGGTGTGCTGAGCCAGGAGGCTGTGAGCCTAGGAAAGCTGGGGTGGGAGGTGTCTCGTGCACTAACCAGCTTCAAGTCCCTGGGGCAGGAAGCGGGCACAGAGGGCTGGGTAGCGAACAGCTGGTAGGGAGCTAGGCTGCAGCACTGAATCCTACATTCAGAACCATGTGGATCCCCACCACAAGGCTCGGGCAGACATGGCACTCTCCCCATTTTACAGATGAGAACAATGAGGCCACGGGATCAACCGCTTGCCCAGAATCCTGTGCCCCGAAGTGCAGAGCTGGCGTCAAGCTGCCATCTGCAGACCCCAGCAGGACTCCTCACCACCACCACCCACGTGACCAGGGGCCCCTGGGCTCTGCTCCCAGCTCTGCCCCCAGCAGCTGGGACACGGTCTTTTGACCACACCGAGATGCAGCGCCTCCCCGGTCAGAGGGGTGACCACAGCCCCGCTGTCCCGTCACACGTCGGTGTTGGTGAGATAAAGCGACAGAACAGGCTGTGAAGGCAGGAGCACCGCTGCACAGACCGGCCTCGAGGATGAAAGGAGGGGTGTGCAGTCCCTCAGGTGCATGGGACCAGAAGAAGCCTCTCACCTCGCACGGCCCAGGCTCCCGGTTCCCTCCCGACCCCGGTTACCTGCTGGGCGTCGCCCTCGGTGAAGGGCAGCTTTGTGGAGACGTGGAACATGATCTCCCTGTCCCGAAATATCGTGTACACCGACTCCGCCCCCGTCTGTCCGTGGGTCACGTCCAGGCCTCCTCGGAAACTGTCGGCACAAAACCAGGGCAAGTGCCACAGGAAGAGAGCGCAGGGGTTAGCGGGCAGCAGGTGCAGCGTTCCCTGAGCACGTGGGGCGGAGGAAGGGACGAGGGGCGTGGGGAGCTGGCCGAGAGCCTGCGATGAGGGGAGAGCAGGCAGGTCTGCCCTTCTGAGCAGAGGAGCCCTGGGCTCGCTCATACACCCACACTGAAAAGACAGAGGCAAATTCCAAGCCATGGCTGCGTCCCCTCCATAATGTAAGTCAGCGGTCGGCAAACGGCGGCTCGCGAGCCACATGCAGCTCACAAGCCTCGGTTTGCCACGCTGTTGACAAATGAGTTTGCCGATCACTGACGTAGGTCATGTGGGAAGGGAGGCTGTCCACCCACAAATCCCAGACAGATGCTGCCTGGGTGCCAGTAGCTCTCTGCAAGGCCATGTCTAACTCCTCGGCCCAAAGCCCAGGAAACTGGCCATCCTGCTGGGTGGTGGTGAGCCCCACAGGAGCCTCCGGAGGCAGCCTGAAGAGGTGACAGATGCCTGACTTCTGCCCAGCCAGCATCCCATATAGGGACTGGACCCCACACAGCAGCCCCCAGCCTGGGGGTTCCCAGGGAGGCCCCTCTCTTGCTTTCTCCCCACAGGCAGGAAAGGAGCTAAGGAACTGGGAGGCTTCTGGCAGCTGCCCCCTCTTCCTTATGGAAACGGGCTGCTAGCCATGCATCACATTCTTAGCAGGAAAAGGAGGATGCTGGTTCCTTTAAGAAGATAAAATCAAACAGACCCTGGACATCAGTCCCCCCTGGGCTTGCAATACCATCCAGGCAATGTTCTCAGCGGCATGGCGGAAAGCTCGCTGGGCCGGGGTCAGGCTCTCCAGGTTCTAGACCTGCTTCTGCCCCTAAGTCAGCACGGGGCCCTGGCATCTCACTCCGTCTCTCCAGGCCCATTTCCTTTCTCCATAAAATAAAGGGGTAGGCCTTGGCCAGCATGGCTTGGTGGTTAGAGCACTGACCTGTGCACCGGAGGGCCTCAGGTTCATTTCCCGGTCAAGGATACGTGCCTATGTTGCTGGTTTGATTCCTAGTCCCATCAGGGCACGTGTGGAAGGCAACCAATCGATGTGTCCCTCTCACATCTCTCTCTCTCTCTCTCTCTCTCTCTCTCTCTCTCTCTCTCTCTCTCTCTCTGTGTGTGTGTGTGTGTGTGTGTGTGTGTCCCTCCGCTTCCACTCTTTCTAAAAGTCAGTGGAAAACTATCCTCGGGTGAGGATTAACAAAAATAAACAAGTAAGTAAATTATAAAAAGTAAAGGGCTAGGACAACATGACCTCTGGGGTCCTTCCTGGTTTTAGTAGACTGTGTTGCATCTATTCTAAGACACATCTTTTCACATTTTACGATCTGTGAACTCTGGATGCACCTCAGGGTCAATGGAGGGAGGTGGCAGGGCCACAGTGACAATGACCATGGGTGGGTCCTCCGTGCTCAGCACCAGCTCATGTGTCTCAGGGGATTATCTACCTCAACCCCCAGCAACCTGTGGGGTCAGCACTGCCTTTATCTCCCTTTTACAGGTGAGGAAACGGAGGCTTGCAGAGGTTAAGTCACGTGTCCAGAGTCATAGAGCTACCAAGTAATAACCCATGTGGGACTGACTCCGGACCGTGGTGACCTTGAAGGAAAAAAGGGCGGAGAAGGGGGTGAGGGGGAAGGAAGAGGAGAGAAGGAAGCAGAGGAAGAAAGGGATCACACAACACCTAGTACTGACAGGCCTGGGGGTTATCACACACGTAGGGAGATCCCATTAACGTGGCTGCTGGAGTGGGGCATTCGGAGGGAGGCCACGTGCCGCCATGACGCACAGCACAGCCCGGCCAGGCCTGAAGGTCCCTCCCAAAGGTGGCCTTAGCCAAGGAAAACCCAAGGCCAGAGTTTTCCAAGCAATCGCTCCCATAGTCTCTCTGTCCACTTGGGAGAACCACAGACTGTTGCATAGATTCCTGCCAGGGGGAGGGGGCTAGGGGTGTGGGCTACTGTATTTCTGCCAATTCTCAGTTATCCATTCTTTCTGTGTATTATCTCAAATGGATCCTTTCCCCCGAAGAGGCACAGGGCCTCTCCCCTGAGTGCGGGCAGGTGAGTGATGGGGAAGGTGGATTCATTAAGCTCTCAGGCTGAGCCAAATGGAATTAGGAAGAGGCGCGTGTGAGGTGGAGCCGTTTCATCATCCGAGGCCGATGTCAGCGCCTTCCCAATGGCCTGCCGTCCTCCATTATCCCCTGGACTTCCGTTCCCTTAGAAAGGGGTGGTGATCGTGTGCTGAAAAAGGACCCCACGTTTCCTGTGTGTGTTGTGGGGGGCAGGGAGGAGACGTTAATATATTTCTTATTGATTTCAGAGAGGAAGAGAGAGGGAGAGAGAGAAACATCAATAATGAGAGAGAATCACTGATCGGCTGCCTCCTGCATGGCCCGCACTGTGGATCAAGCCTGCAACCCAGGTATGTGCCCTGATGGGGAATGGAACTGTGACCTCCTGGTCCCCAGGTCGATGCTCAATCACTGAGCCACACTGGCTGGGCTCTTGTGTATGTTTTTTACTCTCACATGCCCTCCCTGAACCTCAGCTGTCGCCCCTGGCCCTTCCTCCAAGTCCTCGTCCGTGGAGCTGCCGCCATCACGTGGCTGACACCTACCCTTTGAAGTCCTGCAGGGTGATGGTGTCCCCCAGCAGGTCCAAGAACTCCCTGAAAGCGGGGCTCTCCTCGTTGTTCCCAAACAGCTCCTCCTCCAGTGTCTGCAAGACAAACAGGCCGGGGGCGGGAGTCAGGAACAGCCTTCTTGGTGCCAAAGGAAGGAAAGATTGTCCAGTGACTGGTCCCATTCTCTCTTCCTCCCCGTCCCCCACCACAAGCGCCGTCCAGTGGCTCTGTCCTCGCCTGGAGGAAGGACGGGGGCTCACTCACAGGCCTGGATTTGGGGGTGCTGGTTAAGGAGAACTTTCTCTTCAAGCACAAGCTGCTGGTCAGTACAAAGAGCAAAGCTACAAAGCCCTGGCTCGTGTGGCTCAGTTAATAGAGCATCCTCTCCCTTCTCCTCCCTCCCCCCCCCATACACCAAAAAACAAAGCTGAAGCAAAGAGCTATTTGGACAGGGTGCCAAAAACCAATCCGTAAGCGAAAAACTGATAGCTGGACTTCTGACCAAGGACGCCTACCCAGAACACATAAAGAACTCTTAAAACTCAATAGCAATCAAAACCTCAAGGAGATACCACTCTCCACGCACTGATGGCTAGAATCAAAAGGAAAGGCAAGTGTTGGTGAGGATAAAGAAGGATCAGGATCCGCAGACGCCGCTGGGGGGAATATAAATGGTGCTCTCACTTTGGAAAGTCTGGCAGTTCCTCAAAAGGCTAAACGTAGAGTTACCATAAGACCCACAATTTCACTCCTAAGAGTATATCCAAGAAACATAAAAACGTAAGTCCATACAAAAACTTGCACTGGGATGTTAATAGCAGCATGCTTCATAGGAGCCCCAAAATGGAAACAACTGAAATGTTCATCCGACGACAAATGAATAAACAACGTGTGGTATGTCCATACAATGGAATATCCTTCAGCCACAAACGGCGTAAAGTGCTGATTCATGCTACCACATGGATGAATCTTGAAAACATTATGTGACAGACGCCAGACACAAAAGGCCACGTGTTATGATTCCATTTATATGAAACTAGAGGCCCAGTACATGAATTTGTGAACATGTGGGATCCCTAGGCCTGGTGGGCAATCGAGGCTGATCAGAGCCAGCCAACTAGGGAAGGGACTGCAAAAAGTTGGCTGTGGGAGCTCACTGACCAGCAGGGTACAACTCCTGCGTTGAGCATCTGCCCCTGGTGGTCAATGTCTGTCATAGCCATCGGTCAATCGGTCATTCGGTTGACTGATCGTAACAGTCGCTTGCTTAGGCTTAGATAGATAGATAGATATCCAGACCAGGAAACCCATAGAGACAGAAAGTCAGTTTGTGATTAACAGGAGGTAGAGAGAGTGGTGATGGAGAGTGACTGATAATGAATGTAGACTTTCTTTGGGGTTGATGGAAAAGCTCTGGAGTTAGAGTGGTGATAGTTGCATAATTCTGTGAATATTCAACTGAACTGTACTCAGTATTTAGATATAATCCACATGCCATTGTGAACTATATGGTATCTGAGTTATACTTCAATAAAGGTTTAAAATTTTTTTCTTAATTTTAACTCAGCAGTAAAAAATAACCCAATTAGAATATAATCAACAGTCAGCCATCTTAATCTTTCTCTGGGAATCTTTCTGTACTGTTCAGAGATACAGAAGATTGTGGCTATAAATAGCATCCTCTTCTTGCTTCTGCTTTCTATTTTAAGGATTAGGATCTACTGTGATTAACTTTCCTTTTGAAGCTTCTATTACTATGCTAATAAAAAAGAAGAAAATAGTCATAAGACATGACAATTATTTCATCCGAGAGAATATAGAGATGGCAAATAAGCACATGAAAAGATGTTCAACATTACCAACCATTAGAGAAATGCAAATTAAAATAATAATAAGGTATAAATATAATGAGGTATCACTGCACATCTATCAGAACAGCCAAAAAAAAAACACTAACAACACTCAATGCTGCCAAGGATGTGGAAATCACAGACCAATCAAATATTGCTGGCAGGGATGCAAAATGGAACAACTGCTCTCAAAAACAGTTTGGCAGTTTTTTACAGAACTAAGTGTATAGGTACCCTATAACCCAGCAATTGTACCCCTGGGTATTTATCTCACAAAAGTAAAAACTTATGCTCAAAAAAACCTGTCTACAAATGTTCAAAGCAGCTTTATTCAGAATAGCCAAAACCTGGAAACAACCCAGCTTTTGGTCACTGAGTAAATGGTTAAACAGACTGTGGTACACCCACACCATGGAATACTACTCAGCCATAAGAAAAGAATCAACTCTTGACATGTTGCAACACTTGGATAAACTTCACCAAGTGGAAAAAAGCCAATCCCAAAACTTTATATACTGCATGATGCAATTCAGAAAAACAATTTTGAAATGACAGTTTTGGAAATTAGAGAACAAATTAGTAGTTGCCAAGAGTTAGGGACTGGAGGAGGAAGGGAACATAAGAGGCAGGAGGGAGATTGGTGTGGTTTCAAAGGAAAACACAAGATGTCCTAAAAACAAAAAGGGCAATGGAATTCTGTATCTTGACTGTGTAATCTAAACATGTGATAAAATTATATAGAATGAAATACACACACACACACACACACACACACACACAAATTGGGGAAGTCAGAATAAGACCCATGGATTGCATGGCTGTGATAATGCACTATCTCTATATATAATATATAAAAGCCTAAGCAACCAGCTGGCCAGCTAGTAGCTATGACTTGCACTGACCACCAGGGGGCAGGTGCACAATACAGGAGCAGAAACCACAGGCATGGAAATATGGAATAGACTGATGAATCTCAGAGGGAAAGGGGGAAGGGGGAGGGTGAGAAGAGATTAACCAAAGATCTTATATGCATACTAAAGGCCCGGTGCAACGGTGGGATCCCTCAGCCTGGCCTGCCCCCTCTCGCAATCCGGGACCCCTTGGAGGATGTTAGAGAGCCAGTTTCAGCCAATCCCCACAAGCCAGGCCAAGGGACCCCACCAATGCACAAACCTGTGCACCAGGCCTCTGTTATATAATAAAGAGGTAATATGCAAATTGACCATCACTCCCAACACATAAGATGGCCGTCCCCATGTAGTCAAAGATGGCTGCCCCCATGTGGACATAAGATGGCCAGTAGGAGAGGGCAGTTAGGGGTGACTGGGCTGGCAGGGAAGGGCATTTAGGGGCAATCGGGCTGGCAAGGGAGTGGTTAAGGGGTAATCAGGCTGGCAGGCAGAAATGGTTAGGGACAATCAGGCAGGCAGGCAGGCAAGTGGTTGGGAGCCAGCAGTCCTGGATTTTTAGAGGGATCCCAGGTTGGAGAGGGTGCAGGCTGAGCTGAGGGACACACACACACACACACACACACACACACATACATCATGCACAAATTTTGTGCACTGGGCCTCTAGTTAGTTTTATAAGACACTAGAGGCCCAATGCACAAAAATCATGCAAGAATAGGCCCTTGCAGCCCCACCCACTGTTCATTCCAGAAGGTCATCTGGAAGGTCAGTCAGGAAAGTTGTTCAGCCCTCCGGTCTAATTAGCACATTAGCTCTTTACTATATAGGATTACTGGTGGGGGAAACTGGGTAAAGAGTACACAGATCTTTCTATGTAATTTCTTACAACTACATGTAAGTCTACAAATATCTAAAAACTAGAAATGTAATAACGTTTTTAAATAGAAGGCAAAGCTAAAAACAGTAGTAGGCTCTACAATTGTGACAAGCTTAAAACTGAGTGGCACCCTAGCCAGTTTGGTTCAGTGGATAGAGTGTCAGCCTGCAGACTGTAGGGTCCCAGGTTCAATTCTGACCAAGGGCATGTGCCTGGGTTGCAGGCTCAATCCCCAGTAGGAGTTGTGCAAGAGGTCGACAATCAATTATTCTCTCTCATCATTGATGTTTCTACCTCTCTATCCCTCTCCCTTCCTCTCTGAAATCAATAAAAATAAAAAATAAAATAAAATAAATAAAAACTGCGTGGCCCACCACTCCACAGGCTCCCACAGTGGCAGGATCTGCAAACAGCTGAGGGCTCCACAAGCATCCACAGTCGGCCATGAGCAGCCTCAGATGACGCAGACACTCCAGGCTGCACAACCTCCGGAAGGAGAAAGCCTCCAACAGGTGTTCTTTAACCCTCCTCCGCGCGAACATTACACAAAAAGGAACCGGCCCCAGGTTCCAAGCCTTCAACAGGTAGCAGAGTCTGGCTAGATTTCACTAACTTTTAACGTTTACAGTATTTCTGTTTAGAATCACCTTTATTTCATGTAAACGATACTGATGTTCCAATTAGAGTATCAATATAAAAATTTCCTTCAAAAACAAATGCATTTCAGCCCGGCCGGCATAGCTCAGTGGTAGAGTGTCAACCTATGAACCAGGAAGTCCCAGTTCAATCCCTGGGCAGGGCATATACAGGATTGTGGGTTCAATCCCCAGAAGGGAGCATACAGGAGGCAGTCAATCAACGATTCTCTCTCATTATTGATGTTTCTATCTCTCTCTCCCTCTCCCTTCCTCTCTGAAACCAATAAAAACATATTTAATAATAATAATAATAAATGCATTTCAGGTTTTTAAAAAAATTGAAGAAAACAATAAGCAATTGATAGTAGAGGTGTGATAAAAAACTGTAATAGTGGCACAAATGATACCGAGTATGGTTTGTGAATGTCTGAAGTTTGGGACACACCACTCTCTAGCAGAGGCCTGCAAGCTATGCCCTGTGGGCCACGTCTGGCCTGCTGCCTGTTTTTATAAATAAAATTTTATTGGAACACAATCAGACCAACTCACATATTGCCTTTGGCTGCCTTTGCACTACAGAGGCAGGGTTGAGTGGCCACAACAGAGACAGCATAGCCCAGGAAGTCTAAAATATTTACCATCTAGCCCTGCACAGGAAGCGTTCATAGCATGCCAGGAAAGCATCCCAAGTCTGGCCCAGCATCCCATTGGCCCCAGGTCCTGAGGCCGAGTGTGGAAGAACAACTAGCTCCAAGCAACAGCATCTCCTTCGGGGAAAACCGTCCAGCTAGAGCTCTCTGCAGGTTTACACCCAGCCTGGCATTAGCATGATCTTTGTTTTGTACTGGCCTTGAACCTGACCATGCACTCAGAGAGGGGGTCTTAGTCATCACTCGGATCCCCCACAATGCTTAGCACAGTGCCTGACAAACAGGAGAGTTAGATGGTGCTTGTTTATACCCTAAGACCAGTAGAGGGCTTTCATGCAACAAATGTTCCCATTCATGTCCCCAGGCTGTAGGTTTGCAGAACAACAATCTGCCAAGTTAAAAAAAAAAAAAAATCTCCCTGCACCCCCACCTTGCCCCCACAGCATCAGGTACATAAACAACAGACAGACTCCTGCTCAGAGGTGGATGGTTCATATTCAGCAATTATAACTTCGCTGGAACATTGGATGGTAATCACTTTATGAGATCAGCTTTGGTAGATTTCACAAGCTAAGAGCTTTAATTAGGTGGGTTACATGAGCAGAGCTGTACAAAAATAAAAAACGCAATATGTGAAAACAATCAGACCGGCTACCTGCATAATCTCCCTGCAATTACATGATTTATCGCTGTTGGTTTTGCAGCTCCTAAACTCTTCACTTAATTAGGGTGTTTTTAAGAGAACACATGTCTCTTGTGGTCTAATATCTTCAGACAAGGAAGTCAGCTATTATGTAGCCAGACACACATGGAAAAAAAAAAAAAAAAAAAAAAAACCTCCATGGATAATAGTGAAAGGTACAGTTGAGCTACCATTAGCAGGGCCAAAAGCTTTTATGTGTTCATTAATTCACATAACAAAACATTACAAGTGTAATTATACAAAGTCCCATGCTAGGATCCTGGATGATACAAAGATAAAATGAGTGTGGAGCCTTCTTTCATAAAACCTAGGTGAGGCCCTAACTGTTTTTGGCTCAGAGGATAGAGCAACAGCCTGCAGACTAAAGGGTCCCGGGTCTGATTCCGATCAAGGGCAAGTACCTTGGTTGCGGGCACATCCCCAGTAGAGGGTGTGCAGGAGGCAGCTGATCGATGATTCTCTCTCATCAATGTTTCTAACTCTCTATCTCTCTCCCTTCCTCTCTGTAAAAAATCAATAAAATATATATATTTTTAAAAAAACAAACCTAGATGAGGAATCGTTAGCCTGTTCAGCAGGCTACTTCTCAAGATGTTAATAAGGATTCGGCAAAGTTATAAGGAGTTCTTTAACATGGGGGTTCCGAGAGCCTTTAAAATGTTTCTATACAACCAACCCCGCCTCCGTGTCATTTGTTCACAGAGCACTTCACCAGACTGTCTCATGGACCACGTTTTGAAAAACACTACTGGTAACCAACTATAAAGCTAAAAGAGACAGTGGAGGGGGAGCAGTGGGTGTTACAGGTAAAAATTTTAACAACCAGTTCTCCAAACTGGGGAACAGAAGCCCTGGTGTTTGCCAATTACCGTGGTGCAAATACTTCCACCAGAGTTGAATTCCAGCTACAAACAGGATGTCCCTGAACACAGATATGGGAACAAATGCCCACAATGGCTCCCTCACTATTGAAGTCTGGGGAGAGAAAGCTATTCCTAGCTGGGAGGACGGCGAGCAAAGAGAGCAGCTTGGGCTAATCCCATGGTCGGCAAACTGCGGCTCTAGAGCCACATGCGGCTTTTTGGCCCCTTGAGGGTGGCTCTTCCACAAAATACCACAGCCTGGGCGAGTCTATTTTGAAGAAGTGGTGTTAGAGGAAGTTAGTTAAAAAAAATTTGGCTCTCAAAAGAAATTTCAATTGTTGTTCTGTTGATATTTGGCTTTGTTGACTAATGAGTTTGCCGACCACTAGGCTAATCCATTCCCTCTACCCAGTCTGATTTTTCTTGTGACCAACAGATAAGCTAAGGCAGCGGGAAGATTTAGAATTTACTGCATGGTAAACTACATTGCCACTTAAAGGCATTGCAGGCTTCTGTGTGATGGGTAGCCATCCGTGGCAATTCGGCCACCTCCAGTCTAACTCATACTTAAAATCGTGGTTTTCAACATATTTAAGAACATGATACGGGTCCTTGGGGGAAGAAATAAAGAGTCCCCAGTGAGAATCCACAGGATATAGTGCCCAGTATGGACATGTGGTGCTTACCTGCTTGGCTTTTTGATAAATGACCCCAAATTTGAATGTGTTCTTGACATCATGCTCATCATAGGACACAATCATGTGGGAGGCCTGGAAAATGTGGGGAGAAAAACCAGATTGTTTATTAATTTGGAGGGAAACGGAGCGGGAAGCACCCATTCCAGTGGAGAGCGTGCCCCCTGGCACCCACACGTAGAAGGGGAGAGAGGGAGAGAGGGTGAAGTCAGAAGCAGGCAGTCAGGATGCAACTCCAAAGCTCTTAGCTGCATCTCAACACCTGAGCATTCCCCAGCTGGGCCCAACCTCTGGATCACTGATTCCATCCCCATCCAGATGTGCCAGCCATGGCCTGGGCTCACAGGGGGGCCCAGCAGGACTCAGGGAACTGACTGTAGCCTGTGATGTGAACGGTGAAGCCAGGCCCCCACAACCGGTAAGCGAGGGTGACCCCAGCTCGCCTCCCCCCTGTAATCAGCAGGTGATTTGGACAAGGCACTGCCCCAGCCGGACTGTAATCCCCTTTATCTGTAAGTGAGGGGTCTGCACGGAGCCCCCCGTTAGGAGTGGCACACCCTAATACAATCTGCAAAGGGCAAAGAAGCCTGACCACTGATTCTGTCTGACTGTCCACTGCGCGTCCAAGAGTTGGTATCTGAAGGTCCGAAACGCCAAACTCCCATTGAGAATCTGCCGTTGTGTAATGTTCACAAACACATAACAGCGAGTGAGCCACTTAGCTTCTCTGGGCCTCCGTTTCCTCATCCATGAAACGGAGATGTGTGGTTGTGAAGGTTCAATGAGATCCAGTGCACAGAGCACCTGTCATCATCATCATCATCCTCATCCTCATCCTCCTCAACGTAATTCCCCAGAAAGCTTAGAGTGGACCCAGCCCAGTGGGGGAGGGAAGATGTGGATGCTACTGGGATACCCTTTGCAATAAAAAGGAGGGATCCAACCTCATGTTATGCTGCGGGAGAAACAAGCCAGCGCGACCTGTCTGGCCGCAAGAGGAGGCCGGGGATAGGTGGCCGCACAGGACATGTCTCGGGGAGGCCCGCAGCTGCCTGGGAAACGGACACTCGGGGCACCTCTGGCCGACCCGCCGGGAGCCGCCCGCTCGCCGCTGGGATGACTCAGAGGAGCAGAGCAGCTGCCCTGCCGGAGCAGAGGCACCCGGCCATGGAGACATTCCAAGGAACATTCTAAACCCTGTGAATTCTAAACACACACACACACACACACACACACACACACACACACACAGAGGCACCAGCCGGAGTAACATCCCAGCCGGACTAAGCCGTCCTTCAGTTACAGAAAACATGGAAACCCAGCTGCTCCTAATTGCTACCACAGCAGGCGGCTTTCCAAGGGACAGAGAGAGCCACGCAAACGGGCGCCATTAGGCTCTCTCCGTGGACAGGATCTGACAACAAACACTGCCCAGCCTGTAGTTAAGTTGGGCCTCTATGGTGGGGTTTTCGTCTTTGGTTAAACCTCACTAATTCAGCTTTCATTATAAAAAGAAGGGCATTTGGAGGGACAGAAAGTGCTCGGTGGAGCACAGCGTATGGCTGCTAAGTGCCTATGGATGCTCAGAGCGCTAGACAGAGGTGCCTTCTCTGTGCAGAGAGGGCCCGTCCTCAACTCAGCCAGCTGCACAGGGATGAGCAGAGGGACCTACCCAATCGTGGACATTTAAGGTGTCTGTTCCAGAGGGTTCTGGATGTCCAGCCAGGAGAGCGCCTCTCTTCCCTGCCAAACATTTCAGCTGGTGCTTCCTGGCTGTCAGAACTGGGACTCGGGCATGGACCGATCCAGCCCCAGCAAGCCCAGGGTCACAGCACTGACCGAGGTGCAGGCTCAGCTCAGCCCTGCACCAGCCTCTCTCCAGACCCCGCCGGCTCAGGAAGCAGCAGTGAGTGGGTGCACGGGGTCTCTTCCTGCGGCCAGTCTAACGCAGTTCATTGTCTGTGGGTGATTTAAGTCCTGTCCCACCATAATGGTTCTTCCGTGGGTTGGAGGTTTGTTGTGTTATTATTGCTCCTCCCGCCACCCCCGTGCCCACATCAGAACTGGGGTGAAGGTTAGGACAGTCCTAAGGAAACTAATAACTAGAACCAGCCGGGTTACGATGGAGGGCTGAGCAGGGGCTCAGAAGGCCTCAGAGCTGCAGTCGCATTGGCAATGAGGAGCTGCAGTCTTTTTAGTGGGGTTCTGCCTTCTGCACCCCCCCCCCCCTTGTATGGCTGACCAGGTCTGCACCAGCCTCCACCCCCAGTTCGAGGTGCGACACCCCCCAGCACCGACTCAGGGCTGGAGAGCAGGGGAGGTGGGAGGTGGGAAAGCTGCCACTCTGCCTCCCCTCTGCCACCTGCACAGCTGGGGGCATCTCGAGCGGGAGACCCAGGCCCATGGCCAGTTTGTGAAGGATGAGCAGGGGGAGGGGAGACATGGAGGTTTCTCACAGAGACCCCACAACCCCCCACCAAGATGCAGAGGATTCCCACAGAGCCCCCGGTGTGCAGAGCCCTGGGGGAAGGGAGGGGCGGCGTCTCACCTTGGGGTACAGGACAGGGCTGAATTTCAGTCCCACTGCGTCATCACAGAACGCCTGAGTGGGGAGAGAGAACACACAGTTCAGGGACCACATCTGGAGAGCATCTGGGCTCCCCGGCCCTCTGGGGAGAGAGCAGGGGAGGACAAGGCCTTGGCTCCGGGCTCTGCTGCTCACGGTCCAGTGGCCAGGGAAGTGAGCTAACTCCCTGGGTTCCTGTTGAAGGGAGGCACCGAAGGCACTGGGCTAGATTCTGCCCGGCATTCCCGCTCCCTGAGTGCGGATCCAGCCCCATTCAGCTGACCATCCTTCTCCTCCCACTGGCTGATTCGCTCCCCAGTTCCCGGGATCCCAGAGCAGATACAACCCCCACCCCCCACCCCCCTACCCCCACCCCCACCCCCCCTCTCTCCCCCTTCCTCCTGCCCCCCCTCACTTCCCTTCCCCCCTGCTTCTCCCCCCACCCCCCACCCGCCAGCTGATGGCTCCTGCCTGAGGGCTCCTCCATTTGAATCAACAGCCTGGCCATTCCTAACCCCAGCTCTCAGCTGTGGAGGCTTCCTGGCCACCCCTCCTCTTCCTCCTCTGTAGTCCCGCTCTCCACACACAGCCCTCTCTTTCCACGTCTCCTGTCTCCTGAACTAGCTGTAAACTTGGGGGCTAAGACCCTGGATTATTCTGAGGATGAGACAAGGGAGGGTGTCAGAAAGACAGAGGCATCTGCCAACACCCCCTCCTGCACCCCCCCAACCTCATCCATGCAGCCAAGGGCCAAAGAGTGCAGCGGCCTTCCCCTCCAGAAGGGTAAACCCACCCAGGACAAGCCTCACCCAGCCCAGAGGCCAGCCCTGGGCTAAAGGAGGTAGCCACCCTCTCTCGGGGCCTGAAATTTACCTTGGCAATCTGCGGGATGCTGGGCAGCTTGCTCAGGCCAGCCAAGGGGATCCGTTCATGCACCGTCTTCACTTTGGACCTGCAGGAGGAGGCATGTCCACAAGCAGCGGGGTCAGTGAGGACGGAGGCTGAGATCATGTCCGACCTCAAGGCAGGGACACTTGTTTCACGTCTCCCGGGGTCAGATCTGCCTCACTGCACCCAACCCACGCAGTGGGCACCACACTCAAGTGATGGGAAAATGAAATGCTACGTAGGTACCTCATGGGGGGAGGGGAGGAGTGGACACTTAAAGGGCCTGCTGTCCAAAACCATATTTTGGTAAAGCTGTCCAAAACCAAAATATGGGAAAAGCCCAATAATCACCTTCAAGGTCACCATTATTTTTTGGTTTCTTTGTGGGGGGTTTTTGTGTTCTCCCAAAGCACTGGGTACAGCTTCTGGATATATTTAGGTTCCCACATGCAACTAAACCTTTATAAAAAGAAACTAATATTTGAAAAATCTGGATTTACTCAAAATATAAATGGGATGAAAGTTGCTTTAGGAAGGGATTTACCATAAGGCTCTAAATTTATCCCGTTCCCAATTCATTTAGCACATTGTAAGTGTGCTGAATTTTACTGAATGCATCTCTGCATCTGCTGAGATAATTATAGGGTTCTTAATCTGTTAAAACTAGTGGATTACATTTCTGTTGAGCCATCTTTTCATTCCAGGGGTAAAGATTCCACTTTTGTGTGAATTATTTTTTCACGTCATGCTAAATTTAATTTGCTAATATTTTATTTAGAGTTTCCCATCTATGTTCAATAGCAACACTGGCCTATTTTTTTTTTCTTGTGCTTCCCTTGTCAAGTTTTGATATCGGGGGGTTATTCCAGCCTCATAAAATTGCTGGAGAGCGTCTCATCGTGTGAAAGAGTTTGTATACCACAGGGACCTTCTGATACTTAAAGGTTTGCTAGAAATAGTCTGTGAAATCTCTGGGCCACTTTTTTGTGGAAGGATCCCTGGGCTACCAATTCCATTGTTGTATGGTGAATATTTAGGTTTCTTATTCCTTATTGGATCAATTTTGGTAATATATATTTTTCTATAAAATTATCATCAAGTGCATGGATAACAAGTTGCTTGGGGTTCTCTTTGCCCTTCATCTCTATTTGCAGGTGGGTCCCTTCCTCATCTTTTTAGGTAGATGGCTTTCAGTTTTGTTGATTGTCTCAATTTCTTTGTTATTTTTGCTTTCTACTTTTCTAGCTTGTTCTTTTCTTTATTTCCTTCCTTCTGTTTTCTTTGGTGGTGTTGTTGTTTTTTTCCTATTTTTTTCCTAACTTCTTTTTTTTAAAATATATATTATTGATATTTTACAGAGAGGAGGGGAGAGAGATAGAAACATCAATGAGAGAGAAACATCTATCAGCCACCTCCCGCACACCGCCCACTGGGGATGTGCCTACAACCAAGGTACATGTCCTTGACTGGAATCGAACCTGGGACCCTTCAGTCTGCAGGCCGATGCTCTATCCACTGAGCCAAACGGTTTTTGGCTTTTCCTAACTTCTTGACACACACACACACACACATTTAATCTTCCTTCCTTTTCATGAATGCATTTAAAACTATACATCTTCCTCTACCATGGTTTTTTTGTTTGTTTGTTTGTTTGTTTTGTTTTTTTGCATCCCACACATTGATAAGTAGTATTTTCATTGTCATTTAGGTCTAAATATTTTGTCAGTTCTTTTGTGATTTTTTTCCTTTAGCCCATGAGTAATATAAAAGGATTTTTCCTTAGCTCTCCAAATGTCTGACTGTTTTTTCTTCAGTATTTTAATTGTTGATTTCTAAATTTTTTTATATCCATGGAACATCATCGGCATGATATTATTTGAAATGTATTGGCTTAATTCGTGGACTTTTTTTCATGTTCTATATGGGTATGAAAAGAATGTACTTTTTTTCTTTTGTTGAGTTCAGGAAAGTATGTTACGAGATCGAATTTGTTCATTGTATTGTTCAAATCTTCTATAGCCTCACAATTTTTTGCCTGCTTGTCCATTGGTGTATGGACTGTTACTGAAATCTCCCATTATAACCTAGGATTTGTCTACTTCTTATATTCCTAACAGTTTGGGGCTTTTTAAATTCAAGACCATGTTACTAAGTCCAGGTTCACACACTCAGAACTGTTCGCTCATCTGGGTGGACTGCTCTCTTCACCATCATGTGGGCTGAGGGCCCCGAGGTGCCGTGAAGGGCATCTTTCCTTGCCCAGGCGATGAACACATTCAGAAATAAACAAAAAATTAACAGTAAGGCAGCTGGTAGTCAAAATAGCTCCTTTGTTACTGATAAAGGCCAAGAGGGAGCACGCAGGGTAGCGTGAAGATGAAGTGAATCTTCTGACTAAACTCCAGAATTACCCACCCAGTCCCAGTCAGTGCTGGGCAGGGGCAAGCCTCCTCTGGTGGATCCTGCTCAGAGGGGACTTGCAGTCCAGGGGAGCAGAGGGAGGCCCTGATGGCAGCTAGCTTCAAGAGCACAGTACAGATATGGTGATAAAGTATATGAAAAAGAAGATACATGGATAATAGACTGAGAGGCCCCAGCATTGGTCTTTAAGGATTCCCAAAGAGAAGAATGGGGAAGCCAGTGGAGAAGAACTGTCCGAAGAGAGCATGGCTGAGAGTACTTCAGGACTGAAGAAAGAAAGCACACCATGGTGCTGGACAAGATTGTAAAACAAAACAATACTTCTAGACACCGAAGTGAAATGTTAGAACATCGAAGATAAAGAGGCGCCCTGGCACATGCGGCTCAGTTGGTTGCCCATCCACTGAAAGATTGCTCATTCCATTCCCAGTCAGGGCGCATACTTGGTGTGGGCTCGATCCCGGGTAGAGGCCATGCAGGAGTCAGCTGATCCATGTTTCTCCTCCACCCCCATTTTCTCTATCCTAAGAGCAAGGCACCCTGCCTCCAGTTCCCATCAGGACCATTGGATGGCACAGCTCATGAGGCACCATTCCTAATATATGGCAGTCACCTGACTCATCACCTGACTCATCAAGGCAGCCTCCTGACTCATCTGCCTGCTGCTTGCTGGCTTAGCCTTCCCTTCAAGCCATCCTCCTTACTCTGGCCAGCATTCATCCCGCAGTGCAAGTCTGGTCATGATGTTCTTTTCAGGAGCTCTCCCATTGGCTCACAGGATTAAACTCTAAGTTCCTAAACAGAGTTTATACATGATTTGGCCCTTTTTTTTTTTTTTTTAAATCTTTCCAGCATGACCATTCAACCTTACACACATTCACAACTGTGTATACACCTGTATACACACACTCCACCACACTCAAGCTCTTTGGAACTTCTTTCACTTCTCCCAGACCATCTATCTTTGGATCACCCTCCCAAGCCAATAATAACCCATGTCCATAGGAGAAGATGAGTCAGAAGAAGGAATAAGAATATGTAATGGGAACGGAATGCTTCCTATAGCCAGGTAACAAGAGCTTATGCCTCACATGTCCCTCTCCTTAGGGAAAGTCTGGCATGTATTGTTATGCTTTGGTTAAACAAGCACTGAGCGGATAAATGCTTTCCTAATATCAACCACTTCTGCATTCCTAAAGTAACTCTTTCTTGGCTATAGTGAATTATATTCAAATTAATCCTCAAAGATCAGCTTACATTTGAGTTGCTGGAATTGGTATTTTATTTAGAATCTCCTATCTTCTTAAGGAATATTGGGCCCTATTTTCCTTCCTTTCTTTTTCCCTTTTCCTTGGTCTAATACTGTTCGTGAGAATCTCTTAAGCATTGTTAAATTCATTGGGAAGCTTTCATATTTGTTTCCCTTGAGCAATTTAAGCAGCCAGCATGAAATCTGTTCCTTGTGAGCTTAAAACTACTACCTGCAAACCAGCCAGACCCAGAAACTTTTGGAGAGAGAATTCCTTACAAACTTTTCCATTTATTACATAGTTATTGTACAGGTTTCTAATCTTGTGTTAAATGAGCATGCTTTCCTAGAAAGGCATCTGTTTCAAATAAAACTTCCACTATAATAATGTGGATTGAATATAATATCTATTAGTAATTTTTTAATCTTCTTCACATCTGTGGTTATATGCCTCTCCTAATGCCTAATCATGTAGATTTTTATTTTATGTTTATCTATATTTGACTAGCTAATTACCTATTTTGTTGTTGTTTTCTTCCAAATGAAATGTGTCTTTTTCTACACCACATATAAATCTGTAGCCTAGATTTCTACATCAAGTCTTGTGCTCATTTTATTTCTAATTTATTTGTTGACCTTAATCCTTCTTAATTCCTTCCTCTTATTCCATTTAGGTAATAATACTGATGATAATAATAGCAGCAATCATTGTTGAATAGCTACAATATATCAAATTATAAAGCAAATATGTTTGGCAAAGCAAATATGTTTGGCAAAGTTTATATAGATTTATTTTATGCCTCAAGAGATTGGTTCCTAAATCCACATGCTATCAAGAATTACCTGAAAGATTTTTAAAAATAGAAATTTGGACTGACAATTCCATTTTTAAAAGAAGCAAAGGTTAAAAACACACTGTACAGAAAATAAATACATGTGTTCCCTACATATATGAAGAGATGCCCAACATAATTCAGTAAAATTGTTGTAAATTTTAACTACATTAACATACTGTTTTTGCTTGTCAGATTGGCAAAAATCCAAGTGCTTGACAAAATATTCTGTTGGAGTGGCTTTGGGAAAATAAGTACTCTGTTGCATTACTGGTGAAGGTTCAAGTTTATAGACCTCCTACAGCAGGCTATTTGGCAATATCTATTAAAACACTAATGCATTTATGTTTTGACCCAGCCAACTCACTTCTGAGAAATTATTTTAAACCACACAATTTGTGCCAGGATAGTCATTGCAGCATTATTGCAGCAAAATACTGACAGTGGCCATTAATAGGGGATCTATTAAATAAATCATTTCATGTGCATGTAATGGAATACTATGCAGCAGTAAAAGGAATTAACAAGCTAGCTTCTTCATGTACTAACATAGAAAGAACT